TTGATTACAGAACTTCAGCCTAGCTGATTTTAAGTTTTATTTTTGCATTAACTGAGCCTCAAAAAAGAACAACCACAAGGGAATCCTGAAGAACTTCAACCTGTAGGCAGGTTTGCAGGTACTTTATGGTTTATGCTAGATTTGACTATACTTACCCTACCAGAATAATTTTAGGGTGTAAGATAAAAAGACAGAGAATCAATGTGTAAATCGGCATGAGTCTATAAGAGCTTCAGGATTGGTTGGAGAAAGGAGTGAAATTAAATAGAAAAGAACACATGCTAGTCAAAAACCATATGCAATTTTGGCCCAGTTTCATGGTTTAGCCTAAGCCAGGATTAGGCCGCAGTTCAACTAGGACATTTAAGTCATTTTTATAAACATGCCTTAGAAAAAAGCATTACCGGTGTGCATCTTAAGACAAAACAGAGGCACTGACATGTTTTAAGATCAGTCAGTGCAAGTTTCTTTCAGTTGAAACAGCTCAGATTTACATTTTAATCTAGGACTAGGTTTAAGCCTTGTCTGTGAACCCGGGGGAAAGTGTCTTAATTCCCATAAATTGTAAATAATAAAAATCACATTACTGTGCAAGGTTAAGTGTTCAGATTCATCAGGTTCTCTCGTAGACAAGTCAGACAAACACAAATAAAGAAAGTGTTTCTTTTATTCAATCATATTTTTGTCTTGTTTAACAACTGCTTACGATTTAACTCATGATTTGATTTATAAACAGTTAGAGGTACAAAGTTGGGCCATTTTAAAATCTGTAAATTGTCATTGTTTAATTGTAGCTTTTAGTAAATACAAATGTGAAATTGTGTAGGTAACGTGGCGCAGTGAAGTCCATTCATTGCAGCTACGACACAAAGAGCATGAAATGCTTCCACTATACAAGAGTAAACAGCAGGCACTCTGTTAAAATCTGAAAATTGTTACTGCATTATTATAGTTAATATTTTGGAATAAAGGTAAAAATGCTTCAAACATTAACTTCTTGATTCTAGAGAATTTTGTCATTTCAGTTTTGTTGCAACAGCTTGGGGAAGGCCATTTTTTGCTCCAACATGACAATACCACATGCACAAAGTGAGGTCCACACAATTTGACTGGCCTGCAAAGAAGCATAGACCTGAACACAATGTCAATGCCTGACCTTCAAAAATGCTGGATGGAGCTTTTCAAATTAATTCAGCCTGTAGTGCTAGTGTTTCTGATATTTAGTCTTAAAATCATAGATTACTGCATGTACATTGAACTTGAGCTGTTTGCGCTTGTTGGTTGTGTCTAGACTGTGGCTGGATTAACAGAAGTATGTTGACACCGTATGTATATCTGGGCATTTGAAAATAAAGTTTGCATCATTTCAACATTCTAATATGCATATATAAGATTTGATTGACTTTTATTGATTTTATTTGGCAATCATAAAATATACCCCAAAATAAGCAGATCTCTTTCTTTGTTTCTTCCATGCCAGCAAAAGTTGTATTTGTTTTGTGTTACGCAATGCTTAAGCTGCCACAGGCATTTACAGCCAGGTCTATCTGCTCCTCTTCTGTTGAGATGCAACATTCATTCATGCAGCATTACCCTCATAGTACATGTGTATTGAGTACATTGGTTGTACCCTCATTACTGTGGTGCATTATGGGATTGAATGAGAGCACTCGATAATGCCCACGATGGTTTCAGACACCACTACAAATGTCTATCCACTCAAACAGTGCATTATATAAAGGTATAGGTGGCAATTTCAGCCACAGTCAGTTTAAAGAACCAAATTAGCCTGACATAAAATATCTTTTTGTAAATTTGTTCCATTTATTTGGGAATATGAAACTAACCCAATACTTGGACATGCTCCTCAACATGAGTGTATAGTTTCTGCTTTTAAAAGCTCTTTCCATGGCATCTATGGAAATCTATGGGGGGGTTACAATTTAATCTGGACTAAAACATGCCAGTCCAGAAAATATATCTTTACATTGGTTGGAAATTTTTTACTACTTTCTGTAGTTCTTTTGCTCTTTAATCAGTTAGAGTTGTGTATTTTGATTTAAAGCTGATGGGTGATGCTTTTTTTTTTTTTATTAAATATTTATTTCCCAAAATGACATGCATGTAACATTTCAAAAATACAAAATGTTTCACACATAATACTCAAAAACAAAATATGTAACGTCATAAAACATGAGTAACATTTTTAACATCAAGTATTCAACATTAAGGATAACATTCATAACAAAGACATTTTAAAAAAAATAAGAAAAGATGTTCATATATTAAAGACGGGAAAAAAAACTTAAACAAAAAGAAAATAACAGGAAAAGGGTACAATAACAATCAAAACAAAATGGAGGAGTTTATATGCCCATAGTTCTAATAGCTTTACGGCTTGAAAGTCCCCGTAAGCTTTCAAAAGAAATCTTTAGGTCAGCATTGAAATGGGTGATATTGGGTATCCTTTCTGACCACTTACTATATTGGGATACCAAATTTCTCTAAAAATTGAGTTTATGTAAATAAATATCCTTCACCATTTATCAGTTGTGAAAACATTTTAATATATCATAATAATAATATCATAGAAAATCTATTTAGTCTTATATGTAACATTTTTATTATTCCATAATGGCTGTTTGTGTGGGGAATAATTATATTTGTATAAAGTCAACATAAAAACGTGATGTGGCATGACATGTGGCCAAGTATGGTGACCCATATTCAGAATTAGTGCTTTGCATTGAAGGCACACACGCATGCACACACACACACACACACACGCACACGCACACGCACACGCACGCGCACGCACACGCACACACCAGTGGGCAGCCATTTATGCTGTGTCGCCCAGGGAGCAGTTGGGGGTTCGGTGCCTTGCTCAAGGGCACCTCATTCGTGGTATTGAAGGTGGGAGGGAGTGCTGTACATTCACTCCCCCACTTACAATTCCTGCTGGACCAGAGACTTGAACTCACAACCTTTAGGTTACAAGTCTGACTCTCTAACCATTAGGCCATGACTTCCCCGAAGGAGGCTTTCTATATTGGATAAAATTGGATAATTGGATTAACAATTTCAAGTCACATTTCAAAAGGAACTCTTTGCTACCAACTTTTTTCCAAAAGTTAGATTACAAATTATATACCATATCTTATCTTTATGTTTAATAAAATGTTCAAATCAAGCATACCTCCTTGATTATTTGAATTACATGAAATATTTCTATTTAAATAGTGAGGCTTGTTTTTCCATATGACATTGAATAAGGTTGAGTCAATTTTTTAAGAAAATATTTTGGTATATCTAATAATACTTAAGACTAAACGAGATAATCCATCAGATTTGGACAAAAGAATCTTTGAGTAAGAAATCCCTCATGAACCACATATTCAATTTCTTTCTAATTTTCAAGATAATGGGTTGGGGTTGTGCCCTGTCTGACTGATTTTTACAGATATTAATACCAAGATAAGTTACTTCCTCCCAATACCTTCAAATTCAGTTAAAGGAATGCCATTGTCTTTAAGTGGAAAACATTTACATTTTTAACATTTAGAGATAAACCTGCTTCAGAAAATACGTTGAGACACTCTTATAAATTTCTTAATCTATGATATATCTTTCAAAAAACAAAAACCTATATCATCAGCGAGCTGACACCATTTAAATTCTCTATCCCTAATTCTGAAGCCTTGAAAAGAGTTGTTATGTAGGCCTTTATGTAAAGCCATTGTTTATGAGCAGAAGAAAAAGAAAAGGAGCCGCCGCATCTCCCTGTTTTATGCTAAACAATGCTAAATCTACGAGTTGTTCCCCAAGGAAGTTCAACTGAAATTATAAAATTAATACTGAACGTATTGACCAAAACCAAAAAGATCTAATACATCAAATAAAAAAATATGTTTTACAGTATCAAAGGCTTTGTGTATATCTATAAATAGAATGTAACTCTTATTGGTTATGTAATCCTTAAATCTAAGACTGGATGTCATTACTCATATGTTTTCCTTAAAGCCAGACAGACAACCAGGGTGACACCAACTTACAAAATTACATCATCCATGCAGCACTCTATAATGCTTTTATAGATTTCCAATATTTTAATTGCCACTAAATCGAAAGAAATACTAGGTCTAATGTGTGAAATTGTGTCATTATTACTCCTCCTGCATATCTTTAAATTAATTATTAAGAAAAAGGTAAAATCTGAATATTTCCCTGCTCTCTCTCTCTCTCTCTCTCTCTCAAATGTCTGTTTATATCAGCTTTGCAGAGCTACTGAATTTTACAGTCCCTTTAAGTGTTTGAAAGGCGGAAGCGCGGAGCTCAGACTTCTTATTAAACTTGACAAATTAGGAATAAAAGGTAAATTATTTGGTTGGGTATTAGACTTCCTGGACAGAAGAACAATAGCAGTTAAGGTTGGTATAGAATATTCAAGTAGGCATATAGTGGAAAATGGTACCCCACAAGGTAGTGTTTGCAGCCCCATGCTGTTCAATATTATGATAAATGGCATTTTTGATCAGGTAAGTGGAAATATAGGTAAGTCACTTTATGCAGACGATGGAGCACTCTGAGTTAGGGGTCGAAATGTAGAATATCTAAGAAAGAAAATGCAAAATACAATAGAGAAAGTTTAACAATGGATTTATAAATGGGGATTTAAACTCTCAATCCCAAAAACTCAAGTTATATGCTTCTCTAAGCGCCACAAAGTAGTGCCACTGAAATTGTATGGACAAGATTTGGAACAGGTTAAGGTGCAGTTTATTAATGTTATTTTTAAAAAACACTGGGTTAAGAGAAAGAATTTAATAGGGTTTTTTTTTTTGGTGTTGTTTTTTCTCTCCACCTCTCCTTTGATGTCAGTCTAATGCCCACACTCCAGTCTAGTAGGTGGCGGTAATGCACCTTTGAGACGAGTTGCCAACCGCCATTAAACCTGAAAGAAGAAGAAGAAGAAGAAGAAGCGCGGAACTCAGCTCAGTCCCAATGTGCAACGCGGGAAGATGGCGGGTGTGCTAGAAAGGAGTTACATAGAGATCTGCGGATTTGAAAGAGAGTCTGTTTTACGATTCAGACAGATCACACTGAATCTGGGTAACGCCTTTTTAGTTTGAAACTGTTTTAGATACTGCGTTTTCAGTCAGATGTGTTAAAATAGGCTGCGTGAATAAACTGTGACTGTAGAGCTGGCAGACTCGGAACAGGCGCTGAATAACAGTCATATAAAAGTCGAAAAGCTGTTATATCTATATTTATATTGTGTTACGCTGCGCGATGTGATATTTTTCTGAAATTAAAGTTTTTTTCTTCTTTTCTTTCAGGGATTTTGTATTGTGCTACCAAACGTCACAACGTGTTGGTAGCACAATACAAGTAACTAGTAGTTACAGTACAAATATATGCTGTTTGCGCGCGTGTATGTTTGTTTATATTTGTATATGTAACGTAACGTTATATACATAAGTTACATAAATACATAGAGAGAGAGAGAGAAATGGCTCATGTTTTTGTTTAAATCATATACTGCTAGTCAAAATTTGACCACATCTACTCTATATTATGACTTTTCCACGTTTGTTTGGTGAATTCATCTATGCTATGAAATAACCAGAGGCGGACAGTAACTAAGTACATTTACTTGAGTATTGTACTTAAGTACACTTTTTGAGTATCTACTTTACTTGAGTATTATTTTTTCTGGGAACTTGGATTTGAAAGAGAGTCTGTTTTACGATTCAGACAGATCACACTGAATCTGGGTAACGCCTTTTTAGTTTGAAACTGTTTTAGATACTGCGTTTTCAGTCAGATGTGTTAAAATAGGCTGCGTGAATAAACTGTGACTGTAGAGCTGGCAGACTCGGAACAGGCGCTGAATAACAGTCATATAAAAGTCGAATAGCTGTTATATCTATATTTATATTGTGTTACGCTGCGCGATGTGATATTTTTCTGAAATTAAAGTTTTTTTTCTTCTTTTCTTTCAGGGATTTTGTATTGTGCTACCAAACGTCACAACGTGTTGGTAGCACAATACAAGTAACTAGTTACAGTACAAATATATGCTGTTTGCGCGCGTGTATGTTTGTTTATATTTGTATATGTAACGTAACGTTATATACATAAGTTACATAAATACATAGAGAGAGAGAGAAATGGCTCATGTTTTTGTTTAAGTCATATACTGCTAGTCAAAAGTTTGACCACATCTACTCTATATTATGACTTTTCCACGTTTGTTTGGTGAATTCATCTATGCTATGAAATAACCAGAGGCGGACAGTAACTAAGTACATTTACTTGAGTATTGTACTTAAGTACACTTTACTTGAGTATTATTTTTTCTGGGAACTTATGACTTTAACTTCACTACATTTGAAAGGCAACTATTGTACTTTTCACTCCACTACATTTCTATCAAGGTCCTCGAAGTAGAAAGTCGTTATTATGTAGC